TCTTATGTGTGGAAGTGGGAAACAAGTGTGAGAGGGAAATGTATGAAAGCTCTAGAGAGAGGGTGTAACAGAAGAAAGAAGAACAGGAAGGCCTAAAGGTGAGGATTAAATTTAACGGATATATATATATATATATATATATATATATATATAAATCATATTATATTTTTATAGAAACAAACTTTATATATATATATATATATATATATATATTATTTTTGTTTAAAATATGATTCCAACACGTTACATAAGAGGTCTCATGTTTCAAAAACAAAATGATGGCAGAATATATTTGAATTAAATTGAATTAAAGTAAGTTCTGTTCCATCTTCAAGCGAAATTTTTTTTGATTCCAATTTGATTCCAAAAAAAATTTCGCTTGAAGATGGAACAGTGCTTGGTACTTTAATTCAATTTAATTCAAATAATTATATTGAAGTTTTCGGCTCTTGTTTTGAAACATGTGACCTCTTATGTAGCGTGTTGGAATCATATTTTTAAATAAATAATTATATTTATGCTCTACTTTTGTATCGAGCACTATTTTTTAAAAATAATAACAAAAATACTAAAGAACTTTGGATTATTTACTTAACCAGTTCTTTCCTATTTTCTATATATTTTCACACACACACACACACATATATAATCCAAAATCACTTCATATCGGGAATAAGCTTATTTCAACCAACGAAACTCGTCAGTCTTATTCAACCCCGGTATAGACTGATTTCATGCGGATACTTCCCCGAATACTACAATCTTAACAAGTTCATCCGTTACCAGTCCTATCCTCACAATCTGCGCTTGCATCCACCTCCTATGTTTATACAAACTTCTTTAGTAACGTTTACCTTGAGTGGCTCTTGGGCCTTGTATTGGGAAACATTTATTAAGAAACAATTTAATATTGAATATAAAACTTATAAGATAAAAAATCTTTACTCTATCACTATTTTGATGGGAAATGTTCAGATTCCTTAGTCCCACAATTTCAGATCTTCACAGCTAAGCCTTTCTCTACACTTTTTTAAGGCAATTCACCCCCAAGCAATGCGGGGGTGCCACTAGCACACAAGGAGTTACAGCGAGTGAGAGCAAGGGTAAAGAGTTATGTCTGAGGAAAGGATACAGAGAAGGACGGGATATAAGTTCAGGTTGTCAGATGTCGATTAACATTACACTTGAATATTTGAATATTATAGTCATCGGGGAAGCAAGTAAGCGGAAGGGAGTTCCACAGATGGGAAGTGCAAGAGAAGAAGCTGTTTGAGAAGAGGTGACGGTTACGTTTAACCGTTTTGACAGTGAAAGGTTGGGACCGAGATGCCAGCCTGGTAGCACGTTTAAATTCATGTAGTCGGGGAATCAGCGAAAGTAGGTCGTTGGAACACTTGCAGTGAAAATACTTGTAGAAGAGACAGAGGGAAGCCACAGCACGTCTGTGAGATAGCGATTGTAGACTAGATGCCAGATCAGGACCCATCATCTTGCATATTTGTCTCTGGATTTTGTCAAGGACCTCGAGACGTACAGAGGGAAAAACAGACCATATATGGCAGCAATATTCCATGCAAGGACGGAGGGTTGATTTATAGATTTGAAGGATGGACTCAGACGAGAAAAACTTTCTGGAATGACACAGAGAGACAAATTTCCTTGCAGTAGATGAAGCGATTGATTCAATGTACTCTATCCCTATTTCGATGGAAAATGTTCAGATAAGCTACTTTCCTTAGTCCCACCATTTCAGACCTTCACGGCTAGAAAAACACCATGCCAGGTACACTGTAGCATGCCACCCTTATTCTTTTTCTATACTTTTAATAAGAAGTACATTCCACTCGAAAAGCTTCTCACGAACTGCTACCCTATGGAATCAGCTCCCACGACGATGCTTCCCGGACCATGAGAATCTTAACCTGTTCATGTCTATGGTTAACCGTTATCGTTCACACAGGTCCACATAAACTGCGCCTCATACCACGTACTCTTTCCACTCACACAGTAATCTCATTCAGTAACCCTCTACCTCGAGTGGTTCTTGGGCCTTGTATTGGGTGATAATTAATAAAATAAAAAAGACGTTCGTTTTACACTGGAATCTAAAGGGTAGTTCCGGTTTACACAAGAATGAAAAAGTTATTGAATGCAGTCTGTCTATTATAAAAGTTACTGAATGCAGAGTATCTGTTATAAACCCAGACGACAGCGCAACAAGAAATAGAAATATTTATACTATTAATTATAGCTGTTAATTAATTAATTAATTATAACTGTTAATTAGTTAATTCCTGGATATCTCTGACAAGACCTTTGCTAAAAATATTATCTAAATAATTGTAGGGTAGCCGTAATGTAAGACTAACCTACTTGCTCTAGTCAGAGACGCAAGAATCATGGTTGCTAAGGCAATGACCTGGGATATACTTGTGCTATATACAAACGAAAGTGCGCATGCGTAGTCAACTGCATGTAGAAAGAAAAAAGAAAGGCGCATATAAATGTAAAAGAATTAAAAATGTTTAAGAAATTATTTCTTTTTTTTAAATAAAATAAAAAAACTAAGCGAAACAGGACAATCCTGTTTGCTGATGTCAATTTGAAAAGAAAAAAATGCCAAGAAAAAGCCTTAAAGATAACTATCATTGAAAAAAAATATTGCATGTTAGCTTCGTACGACTGAAAATTCACTTTAGAATTGTCTTCTGTTTTATTTTAATTTATCCATTTTGTTTATTAATTTATCGCCATTTTTATTACTGTATTCTATTTCATTTTCTGCTTTTATCGCCATTTTGAATATTATGTTTTATTCTATTCCTTTATCTCCATTCTTATTTTGTTCTGTTTTATTTCTTTATCAGCATTTTCATTATTCCGTTCTGTTCTGTTTAATTCCATTCCATTATTAATATTCTTATTCTTCTATTCTGCTTTATTCATTTCCTTTATTAATGTTCTTATTCTATTCCATGATTCTATTCCCTTACCCACGTTCTTTTTCTATTCTATTTTATTCTAATCCATTATCAGTATGAATTGGTTCATCATCTCTCATCGCAAGGCCATTTCTCAGATAAGCAATATGGCTGTCATTTCTCCAGGTCAACTGCTGATGTACTGGAGATAATTGCAGAAAGAGTCTCGATCCTTTCGTACTAAAGCGGATGTCTCCCATGTCCTAAGTCCTACTCTTAACGACATTTCTAATGATATCAGCTCTTAACTTGACTTCTACGCTGATGAAAAAACCATTTACTTCTGCCTCGATTATAAGGCTGGTCAGTCCGACAAAGTCAAAATGGCAACCGATGTCCAAAATGACCTCAAGTCCGTTTTTAACGGGGGCAAATGATGCCTTGTTAATTTTAACGCCTCTAAACTTCTCTCCATTAATCAACTGAAAAACCACTCTCTGCTTTTCATCAGCATGGCTAATGCTAACCTCCACGAAAGTGACTAGTTTCGGCTTCTGGGGCTAACCTTCTCAGCTGACATGAAGTGAAAAGACTATATTCAATTCATTACTAGCTCAGCTGTTAAGAAATTTGGTTCACTGTGTCGTGCGAGACAATTTTTCTCTCCTGAATCTATCTTACATATCTATAAGTCTACCATTCGTCTATGCTTAGAATTTTGCCGCCACAATGATAAAGGAATACGAGAAAAAAAACAAGAGAAAAATAAGAATAATGGAATAGTGGAATATAGAATAAAATAACAGTGAACCTGCTAGTTACCTTGAGCTCTTTGATAAGATCCAAAGAAGAATCAGCAATATTATTAGTCCTGATCTGGCGGCTCGGCTTCAGTCACTTTCCACAGCCCTAAGGTTGCCTTTCTGTGCTTTTTCTATGAATACTTTCATGGTAATTGTCCGGATGAGTTCTTCGCTATTCTGCCTAGACGTTTTGAATTTAAGCGCTGTACTAAATTGACGCCGAGATCTCATTAATTTGCAGTTGTTCCGGATAGATGTAGCCGTAAATTCTATGCTAACAGCTTCTTTTCTCACTTGTGAAACTCCCTTCCGGTTCCATGCTTTTAAGTCAGGTTTAATCTGCAAAAATTTAAATGCCCTCTCAATCGCTATCTACTCTGCTCTTGTTTAACCTTGCCCGTTCCCGCTCATTATTAATGTTGCTGTTTCGGATTCTTCCACACCCTTTTGGCTTTACTGGCTTGATATCGATTACAAAACAAAACAAAAAACTATTTTTATTATTCCATTCTATTTTATTGCATTCACTTAAGGTTCGTATTCTATTTTGTGATCCCATTCTCTTACCAACGTTCTTTTTCGATTTATTCTATTCCTTTATCATTGTCCTTAGTTTATATTTTTATTTTCCTTTATTCTCATTCTTGTTATTCTATTCTATATTCCACTATTCCATTATTCTTATTTTTCTCATGTTTATTTTTTTTTTCTCATGTTTATTCCTTTATTCTCATTCTTGTTATTCTATTCTATATTCCACTATTCCATTATTCTTATTTTTCTCATGTTTATTTTTTCTTATTCCTTTATTCTCATTCTTGTTATTCTATTCTATATTCCACTATTCCATTATTCTTATTTTTCTCATGTTTATTTTTTCTTATTCCTTTATTCTCATTCTTGTTATTCTTTTCTATATTCCACTATTCCATTATTCTTATTTTTTTTCATGTTTATTTTTTCTTATTCCTTTATTCTCATTCTTGTTATTCTATTCTATATTCCACTATTCCATTATTCTTATTTTTCTCATTCTCATTTTTTTTTTTTTATTCCTTTTATTCTCATTCTTGTTATTCTATTCTATATTCCACTATTCCATTATTCTTATTTTCTCATGTTTATTTTTTTTTTTTTTTATTCCTTTATTCTCATTCTTGTTATTCTTTCTATATTCCACTATTCCATTATTCTTATTTTTCTCTATGTTTATTTTTTTATTCCTTTATTCTCATTCTTGTTATTCTATTCTATATTACACTATTCCATTATTCTTATTTTTCTCATGTTTATTTTTTCTTATTCCTTTATTCTCATTCTTGTTATTCTATTCTATATTCCACTATTCCATTATTCTTATTTTTCTCATGTTTATTTTTTCTTATTCCTTTATTCTCATTCTTGTTATTCTATTCTATATTAACCTATTCCATTATTCTTATTTTTCTCATGTTTATTTTTTCTTATTCCTTTATTCTCATTCTTGTTATTCTATTCTATATTAACCTATTCCATTATTCTTATTTTTCTCATGTTTATTTTTTTTTATTCCTTTATTCTCATTCTTGTTATTCTATTCTATATTCCAATTATTCCATTATTCTTATTTTTCTCATGTTTATTTTTTTTTTCCATTATTCCTTTATTCTCATTCTTTTTATTCTATTCTATATTAAACTTCTATATTCCATTATTCTTATTTTATTTTTCATGTTTATTTTTTCTTATTCCTTTATTCTCATTCTTATTATTCTATTCTATATTTCCACTTATTCCATTATTCTTATTTTTCTCATGTTTATTTTTTTTTTTATTCCTTTATTCTCATTCTTGTTATTCTATTCTATATTAACCTATTCCATTATTCTTATTTTTCTCATGTTTATTTTTTCTTATTCCTTTATTCTCATTCTTATTATTCTATTCTATATTAACCTATTCCATTATTCTTTTCCATTTTTTTTTTTCTCATGTTTATTTTTTTTCTTATTCCTTTATTCTCATTCTTGTTATTCTATTCTATATTCCACTATTCCATTATTCTTATTTTCTCTTGTTTATTTTTTTTATTCTTTATTCTCATTCTTGTTATTCTATTTATTTTCACTATTCCATTATTCTTATTTTTCTTGTTATTCTCATGTTTATTTTTTTCTTATTCCTTTATTCTCATTTATTCTTTCTTATTCTTCCATTCTATATTTCCACTTTTTTCATTCCATTATTCATTCTTTTCTCTATATTTATTTTTTATTCTTATTCTTTATTCTCATTCTTTTTATTCTATTCTATATTAACCTATTCCATTATTCTTATTTTTCTCATGTTTATTTTTTTTCTTATTCCTTTATTCTCATTCTTGTTATTCTATTCTCATATTAACCTATTCCATTATTCTTTTATTTTTTTTCTCATTTTATTTTTTTTTCTTATTCCTTTTTTCTCATTCTTTTTTATTCTATTCTCTATATTCCACTATTCCATTATTCTTATTTTTCTCATGTTTTTATTTTTTTTTTATTCCTTTATTCTCATTCTTGTTATTCTATTCTATATTCCACTATTCATTATTCTTATTTTTATTCATGTTTTTTTTTTTATTCCTTTATTCTCATTCTTGTTATTCTATTCTATATTCCACTATTCCATTATTCTTATTTTTCTCATGTTTATTTTTTTTATTCCTTTTATTCTCATTCTTGTTATTCTATTCTATATTAACCTATTCCATTATTCTTATTTTTCTCATGTTTATTTTTTTTATTCCTTTATTCTCATTCTTGTTATTCTCATTCTATTCATTTATTCTTATTTTTCACTATTCCATTTCCTTTATTCTTATTTTTCTCTATGTTTATTTTTTCTTATTCCTTTATTCTCATTCTTGTTATTCTATTCTATATTACCTATTCCATTATTCTTATTTTTCTCTTTTATGTTTATTTTTTTTCTATATTCCTTTTATTCTCATTCTTGTTATTCTATTCTATATTCCATTCTATTCCATTATTCTTATTTTTCTCATGTTTTCTCATTTTTTTATTCCTTTATTCTCATTCTTGTTATTCTATTCTATATTAACCTATTCCATTATTCTTATTTTTTCTCATGTTTTTTTTTTTTCTTATTCCTTTATTCTCATTCTTATTATTCTATTCTATATTCTCATTCTTATTCCATTATTCTTATTTTTTTCTCATGTTTATTTTTTTCTTATTCCTTTATTCTCATTCTTGTTATTCTATTCTATATTACACTATTCCATTATTCTTATTTTTTTCTCATGTTTTCTATTTTTTTTCTTATTCCTTTATTCTCATTCTTGTTATTCTATTCTATATTACACTATTCCATTATTCTTATTTTTCTCATGTTTATTTTTTTTCTTATTCCTTTATTCTCATTCTTGTTATTCTATTCTATATTACACTATTCCATTATTCTTATTTTTTCTCATGTTTATTTTTTTTATTCCTTTATTCTCATTCTTGTTATTCTATTCTATATTACACTATTCCATTATTCTTATTTTTCTCATGTTTATTTTTTCTTATTCCTTTATTCTCATTCTTGTTATTCTATTCTATATTACACTATTCCATTATTATTTTTTTCTCATGTTTATTTTTTTTATTCCTTTATTCTCATTCTTGTTATTCTATTCTATATTCCACTATTCCATTATTCTTATTTTTTCTCATGTTTATTTTTTCTTATTCCTTTATTCTCATTCTTGTTATTCTATTCTATATTCCACTATTCCATTATTCTTATTT